ATCAATTCCATTATATAAAGGTACTACGGAGATAAAAGCATTATACATACATGCAAAAGTCTGATAATCTCATAATACAAACTAAGTCTGAGATGTGCGGAAGCTGAAACATAATATGTCTATGCATAGTAATAGTAATACATGTTCATATAAATGACATGTAAATGCGTAACAAAAAGACTGCTAATGACCACGCGCCACTGCCGCTCACGCGCCAGGCGTCGCTCCGTCACCTGAAAAACGTAATGGGGGCGTGAGCAAAACCAATATGCTCCGCAAAGACCAGTACTTAATTATACAGCATCGTTAATAACAATATCATGACTTTAAGTATATAAGAACTGATCTGAACTGAAACTGTAACTGGGTCATCTGGTGGTCATAAAGACCCTGGGCTCATGTGCACACTCCGTTGGATCATTAAGGCCAATTAAGGCCTCCCTCAGAACCATGGTGGATCTTTAAGGCTCGCCACGGCCTTCCTCAATGGTGAACTAACTATTTCTCATACATACCTCGGACATGGTACGGAAATTAAAGACGATGTATAACCAGTACGTGACTCCCACCTGGTAAACTGCTACTGATGCAAGTGCTGGCTGAATAGTAGCTGTCGGAGGCTCGACTCTCCTTAAGCTACACAAATTATTGAGCAGAAAGTACTAAGTACTAAGCTCAAACTGAAAACTTGATTCTTATTATTATCTTATCTTACTAGGTTCTCTCGCTCGATTATAAAATCATTTAATTTGGATTTAGAGGATTTGAGCTATTTTGGAAAGATTTGTTGACTTTGAGGCATTCTAGAGTTATTTGAAATATTTCTAAGTCTGGTCTGTTTAATTGATTTATTTGATCTAACTTATCTGACTGATCTAATTTATCTGACTGGGTTCGGAAAAATATTGAATCTCGGTTCACGCTCAAGCCGGTATTCCAAACTGCTATTCTCGAATCGTCCAGACTATCCGGACTGATTCGGCTAAACTGGACTAGCGGCTCGGTCCGAGCCGGTCGGTTGCTCGTCTGACTGGGTGCAATTCGACTTAACCGTGGTCCGGGTACATACGCACGGACACGGCATCAGCCGACGCACAACTTTCGACTCGGGATCTAGAGTTCAACCGAATTGTCCGGTAAAAGGCCGAACTAGGGTTCTCTACTCAACTGGCTATCTATCTTGGTTCAAGCCGAAACTCAAACTCTAAGTTCAACGTGATTTCTAGTAATTTTAGGCCCACAACTGTAGCTAAATCTCAACCGACTAATATCTAGCAATTTTCACAAAAAGCAGCTAAAACCCCAAATTATTAGGCATACCAAACAATCTCTAAACTTTACGAAATTTTAAACATAATACATTTAGTATTTATAAGATTTTTCTCATAAAATTTCAACGCATTTTGAGGCCTTTAGTATTTTTTTTTTCAAAAAAACCGAGCATGTTGACTACATACTAAATAAATCTGGATAAAACAGTAAACGGGCACCAAAAATCACGAAACTTAATATATAATCTATTTAACACGTATAAAGTTCAAGGTAAAAACTTCAAATCTCAAGTCAACACCTATCACGTTCAACTCAAATTTACTACGACCGATAATTTTACTTGAACCACTCGTTCACGTATCTAACGGACACTAAAAATTAATCCGATTACATCTTAAGCCTCAAGTCAACGGGGAGAATTTTATCATATTTATTTCGTCATTTTAACGCATTTATCGAAAAATCCCGATTTATTCGCTTTAAGCTCGTATGTACCGATTTTAACCAAAAATCACTCAAATCAACATCTTTTCATTTCTTATCTTATTTCATTCTTCAAGTCTAAGCCATATCATTCAAGTTTTTATATATTATACCTCACGTAATCAAAACCGGCGGATCGAAAAATAGATCGGCTAAGGAGAGATAAAAATAGAGCAACCCGGTTCAAGTTAGGAATGACGGGTCGGACTCGGGCTATAGAGCTTGGTTTTTGGGCTGCTGGTCACGGATCTGAGGAGCTGGGCACAGATCCGAGTTGTTCGGGTGCAAGGGTTACGAATCCGGACTCGGTACGCGCGTGTACAGACGTCAAATGTGCATGAATCGGGCTGTGACTGGATGTTCGGGTCTGCCGTGCGTGAAGAAGACGCGTTGTTCGGGTTTCGTTGTGGTGGTCACGGGCTCGCGAACTGGAGCTGTAAACCGCGGGCTCGAGCTGAGGACGATGACTCGAGCTGAGATGGACGGGCGCAACTGAGCTTGGTCACGGGCCTGCG